CCTCTCATTGGACCAGGCACCAACGCGTGCACACGGGAGAGAAGCCTTACAAGTGCACGGTCTGTTCGTTCTCTGCGTCCAGGCTCGAGTCCTTAAAAAGACATAGTATGTTTAAACACACAGGCGAGAAGCCCTATAAATGCACCATCTGTCCATACGCTACAGCGGATATCACCAACTTAAAGAAGCACATGCTTACACACACCGGCGAGAAGCCCTATGAACTGTGGCATTCGTTCAACGAGACCCTTGGATCGACACATTAAGGGGGCCCCCTAGTTAAAGACATGTCATTAATTTAATTTTGAAATCATAAACTTAATTTTAAAAATAAAAACTTTTATTGCAATAAATTATTACAGAAAATGAATTATCATTCTTGCTCATAGACTGCCATTCACCATCATCGTTCCTTAGCATACGACATACAAAGGATTAAAAGGCTTTAAAAACATGATAGTTCCTAACTACATCCAAGGTCAAAATGTTGGGTGCTACAATGTATACAAATGTATAATAAACAGTAAAATAAATGCGCAGAACTATTGCAGTCATTTTCAATGTGTATTTAAATTAAGGTGATTTAAAGGAGGGAATAATGGATAAAATGGTTTTTATTTTTGTTAACTACAGCCCAGAAGTCAAAAATTCGAAATAATTCACAACTATTTGTGTTTTAAGAGAAGCTTTTGAGATCTTTTCGAGCCTGTTCCAGGGTTCTAACACAATAAAAATTTACTAACGTGAGAAGAGAGCATAATCACACTTTGACCTTTACTTAATTTTACAATTTTTATTTTCAACGTATTCATTTTCGAGTACATAAAGTTGACGGTCTGCCGACGGTATAATCGCTTTTCAACGTTCCTTCATACCGAAGACAAATAATTCTTAAATAGCTGTGTTATTCATAAAATTATAATATTGTTCAGTTTAAGATATTATACAACTGTGGCGTGCAAACAGCATCACCTAGAAACTGTATATCTAGGTAATAGTATATCCAGGCGATTAATAATTATTCATTGATTTAATTAATAAGATGGTCATTATTTATTTATTAATTTCGTAATTAATATCCGGGTGGTTAATTTGGAATTTTTTTTACTTTAAGTGTTTTTTTTTCATGGCCTAGAGACCTGATTTATCTTATCTAATTTATAATAATTATAAGATTTATCTTCATGGATACGCGCAGTGTTGCTGGTTTTTTTCTTTTAATTATAATTTTAATCAGAAATGGTTTCACTTCAATGGCGAAAGTTAGCATGCGTCACTTCTTTAGGACCTAGTCGAAGAAATTGATGAAAGTAGAAGGGTAGCCGCGTTAGTGATTTTGTCCAAAGCTTTTGATGTTCCCTGCGATCGTCTTGTAAACAAATTAATAGATTCTGGTATAAACACATGGGTGGGGAATTGGATAAGCAAACTGGTACGTGATATGAAACAGGAGGTTCAAATCGAAAGATATTTATCAACCCCGCAAGTGCTACGTCAGGGATTCCACAAAGAAGTGTCGTTGGACATTACTGTTTCTCGCCTTGGTGATTGACGTGCCAAAAACTTTTGCTTCAAATGCAAGACTCTTTGCCGATGACTGTATCATTCATCGGGTTATCAAATCAGAGGAGGGCGTAAATATTTTGTAGCGAGACACAGACAAATTACACTCCTAGACAGAAACGGCATGGAAGTAAACAGTTCAAAGAGCAAAGCCATCACGTTTGTTATGGGTAGATATTATTTTGATACTGCGTACAAACTGAACAACAATGTCATACCTACAGTCACATCTTACAATTATTTGGGAATACAATTAGATGGTAAATTTAGCTGGGAAAATCAATATAATTTCCTTGCGGAGAAAGCCTGGAGATCTTTACATTTTGTTATGCGAATCCCAAAGACGAGAAAGTGAGAAGTAAAGAAGTAGCTTACATGTCACTAGTGCGTCCTGTGTTAGAATATGGCGCGGTATGTTGGGACCCGTACAGAATATCACAAGGTAATCTAGAAAAGTTCCAGCGCAGAGCGTCAAAATTCAGATTCCGGGGTACAAAAAATAGAAGTGTACGGAAGTCACTCGAAAAAAAGGCGGATTAAGTTGCAATTCTGTATTATGTACAACGCGTACACAGGCTATCCAGAGAGTATGTAACAGAAACGGCACTTAATGTTAAACGAAGAACCCTTATTTTTGTGGAAGGGAGAAATTCGAGTCTCCCACCCCAACAGAAGCAACGAATAAGAAAGAAGCAGCCATTTCGCCCACCGCTAGCCAATAAGCGTCGAAAAGCAGTCTACCAATTGAAATGGCGGACAGACATGAACCGGGACATTTGAAATTACATTAGATAGCAAATTTTCAATATGGCGAACATAGTTATATACTAAATAGAATATAAGGCAATGTAGAATAGATACATATACTCTCTGATGTATAAACTAATAATTAATAGGATTTTGAATTCGAAACCAGTAAAGGAAATTTTGGTCACGGAAGTGCAAAATAAAAAATTGTCATATAAGCAACTCATTTCTAAATTATGTAAATATACAGTTCACAATAAACATACAAGCACATATACACAATATGCACCACATACACAATATAAACAATTTTTACAAAACCAGTATAAGTAATAATATATCAACTTTCTTGGCGGTGGACCGAACACATAAATATTGAATTCATGAATTTAGAAAATAATCAAAATACACATAGTGGCCATTACCTTTTTAATATTGTCTTATTATCAAAACAACATACCAGACATCAGTACATGTTTGTGAAATTCCAAGTAATCAAAACTTTAACAAAGTGTTATGATACAAATTAAAATTATTAATATTGTTTATAAATTAATACGAAACTATCATTTGCACAATTGTATCCACAGAAACAATTTAGTCAATTAAGTCCTCTACTACATATATTAAGCTACACAATATATACATTTATATGTATAAAATTCCTGACATTAAATGAGCTTACTATTTAATATTGTTGATAGTAAATACGTTTACAAAAAATATTGATTACTATTATAAAATAAGTTAATAATGCACAAATTAAAGTGGATATAAAAATTGAATAAGTGTGTTATAGCTCTCAAATTAACAAATTTTCTTAAAATTCTTTATTAAAAATGTGTATATACCAATAAAGTATGAATATACTGAAAGGAATCCTGTTATTTGGAATAAGGGGATATACACTGGCCAATGTGAAACTCATGTTGCTTCTGAGAAACATTCAATGTAACCAAACTAAACCAGTTATCATACAATATTATATCATGTGCACATGAAAAGTGACACCTTAAAAATCTCTAGATTAAAAATTAACAGCTCCTCAGACGTTGAAATTGTTATCTTCCAAAATGCCAATTTTTTCAGATTCTTATGCATTACACACTTTATATAATTTTCTTGTTCACAAACAGTATGTACAACACAAATATCAGAATATGTATCATGTTAACACCTATAATATACTACCATTGATACACTTCACCTGTATGCAAGAGAAAATCACCATGCCCATTTAGGATGTTATTTAATTATTTACATTACTAATTCATATTTTTTCTTTCGATTAGCAACATCATTTGATTCCAGAATTTTGGATATACTAATTTATTGTGAAAATGTACTGGAAAATATTCACCTTTAAACCTCATTTTTTCTCCTTTTCAAAAGTAATATTGGATATTAAAGCACGTTACTAGATACAAGTGTAATTTAGCAAACGGCATTGAGTAAAAATTGAATTCAATTATTTTATCTTGATTTATCTCAGAACCCAGTTTTTGATAGTCGGTTTCACTTGTATTCAGGAATTTCAGATCATATATTGATATTCCAAAGCTCAGCAATTTGCTAAATGGTCATCAGATGTAAACCCAAAGATAGATCATATACCCAGAATTACTTAATACTATTTGTAACAGGTATTGAATAAGTCATTGCGAGTTTCCTCACCATGTTGACCTTGTTAATATACTGTTGTTTTTGTCTCTTCCAACTCTGCTGTTAAAATCTTCTGCAAATATTATTTTTCGGGACTTTGGAATACTGTCAAGCGTTTCTTCGACTGTCATTTCAAAATCATCGCTATCAACACTATTTTAATAAGAGGTTTGTCAATCAAGTCCTCAACATATATTAAGCTACACAATATATACATCCTCCCCCGCGCGGCGCCGAAGGAGGGTCTGTTGGCAGGGAGGTCCTTGCTAAATGTCAAGTGGGTGCCCCCAATTCACCTACGTTACCGCTCGTAAAATGAACCCCAACGCTAAGTGCGCCCTCTCGGGAGACGATTTTACGACCCAACGGCCAGCGGCGCACGTGCGGATGCGATGTAAACTTTTTATAGCAGCAACGGACATTCTGGCCGTTGAGAAAAGAGTTCCCGTGTTATTGGTTAGACACACGCCTCCACCCTGCTCCGCGAAATTCAACCCCGCGTATCGGGAGGATACACATTGTTTGAGGGAGGGGGTTCCGAGGTTTGCTGTTACCAGACCGCCGCGCTGTAGTTATTGTATTTCATAGTTTGGCCACGAGCAGTCGACTTGTCTCCTTAGCTCGGCCTCGAGAAGGGATTCGATTTCATAACTCGGCCACGAGTGGTCGAATTCGATTTGATAGTTCGGCCACGAGCACTCGATTCGACTTGTTTTCTTGACTCGGCCACGAGGGGTCATTGGAGTTCTTAGCTCGGCCATGAGTAACCATTCGATTTCGTGACACGGCTACGAGTAGCCACTTGATTTTTTTAAACTTGGCTCCAAGTATTCACTTGAGTTCAGTAAGGCATTGACTGAAACTCAAGTTATTACTTCGCTTGCTCACTTGACATCACGTAGCATTCGAAGCCTCTTGCGGAGGAAAGTTGACCCTTCGCGCTTTCTGCTAGAAATTCAGGCGAAAAGGGATGCAGTCTCGCGCCTAAAGTCAAGTTCCCGCGTTATGACAATCGCCCGCGACTGCTGATGCGGAAATTGATTGGCTTCCAATCAATCATCGCCGATGAACACCGTTGCTGCCTGAGTTTGGTCACGCTGGGTGAAAGTACTGGACCCCAGGGAGACCGCGGCGCTCAGATGGTCACGCTGGGAGTCCCTGTGTTCACCGCCTCTGCCTGGAAGGGGGCAGGGCCCGCTCCAGAACGCAGGCGACGACGTCCACCACTGGGCGTGCATGTGATGCCCGCCGACAGAAAAACAGGGTAATGATGCGCTTAGCTCCCGCCAAGTAAATGCGGGGTCGAACACTTCTTGAGCGAAAGCGGGGGGAATGATTAGTGAGAGTAAATGTTTATTAATGCAAATGATATGTCTATAATTAGTTGAAATTCGCCGTTCTGTGTTCCAAGCCACACGACTCGGTATGGGTTACAATATATGTATATATATTATAGTATATGATGTGAATATATATATATATGTATATATATATATATATATTAATAAACCAAACCCACCTACCCACAACTTACCACCTCCACCTAGCACGCTATGGAACCGTAAGCGCGTTTATTTCAAGATTTAGTGCCGTGGAAGCGTGCAAAAATCTAGGGAGCAGAATCTTCAGGCGTGCGAAAAGGTGTATTAAACCCTTGGACACAATATAAATCACACAAAATTGCACACGAACGCTATACACTTTACACAATCAAACTTTTGAGGGCATTAATTGTAATGACTCAAAAACTAAACAATATAGATATTCGCGTAAGCTGTTTACAAAAGATAATCAAAGACACAAAAGAAACCTTTACAAACACACCACTCATATGAGATAAACATGCATCATAATATACTTCAATTAAACTTGATTACCTCTCGAGCACCATATTAGCTCCAAACGTCACTGAGAATTCCCTTGGATAAGATGTACATTATTCTATATTATTCTGTAGAGCTATTCTAATTACATTGCACATTGAAACACAAAAATTCAATTGTTACAGATCTCCTTGCTTTCAAAATATCACATGTAAAGAACAAATTTGGTGCAAGTCACTACCGTCTTTCATTTACAATTTAACTGTGTCTGAAAATAGCGAAATAATAAATTCCTAAGTAGAATGTTTTTAGGCAGGCAATAGCGCAGCAAAACGTCTCCTACGTAATAATACTGTAATTTGTTGCCACCCGTGTCCCAAAATTCTTACACTTTCCAATACTAGGTTTTTCCCTGCCGACGTTAACTTGACCGATTTTCTGCGGTTCCTAACCGTTACCTCGTGATTCCCACTTTGGCCTTTGTATGCGTCGTGCACTGGTCGCCTGCACGACATCTGTTCGATCCAGCTTGCTGGCTCGTGGAGAAACGAGATCGCCTGTTGTCGTCTGCGTTGCCTTCTTGCGTCCTCTTCCGTTTTTCCTCCAGCCGTCCGTCTTTCTTCCTCGCGCCTGGATCCTCGGCCTCTTCTTCTTCCTCGCTCTGCTAACGGCGTCTCCGACATACGCCCACGTTGCGAAAATGTCCCTTACACTTTACCGAAATACTCGTGCCAAGTTCCTCGCTCGATGCTACTTTTACTTTGGCTAAGCCAGAACTTTTAATTGTTGTCCTTCACAACGGGTAAAGCTTTACTTCCCGTGTTGTTAATTGAAGAAAACACTACCTTAAATCTGCAACTATCTCGCGGACGACTGACTAAGAACGTCTGTGTCGACGCCGAATACTCCTACCTAGAAGTCACGTTGCAGCGGCAAAACAATTATCTAACTAAATGTTTTAACGAAAGTTGTTGATGTTGGCTATCGCGTAAGTAAAGAGCAGATGCTTACTTGACGATCGGTGTAAAGAAAGAGAAGCTTCCGCTGCGTGTTTCGCGTAATTATCGCGCGGCGCCTGTGGAAAATTCTCCGTGGTGGGGCTGTTTCCCCTCTCTCAAACCTTCACAAAGAAAACACAGCACGCTAGTTCGCATTCGTTTAGTACGGGCCAACGGATACCAGGCCGCGCGTTTAAGTACCTCTGCCTCTACGCGTCTATTTATCCTCGCTGCCTCCGTAGCGTTCCACACGTGAGACGGTGGTGTTATTGGGGTTTCACAATCCCATATACGCCACATATATAATACTATATATATAATATATATATATATATATATATATATATATATATGAAATGTGAAATGGCACAGACTTTTTAGCTCTAATTATTTTTCTCTCTAGTGTGGACTAGCATGGACTTATTCTGCAATCCAACATTCACTTACAAGTACCTTCTTGTGTACATGCTTTTGGGTCCGGGAGATGCCACGCCCTAGTCACAAATGTCAACGTTTTGTCCGCGACACTGGGATCTTCCTGAGTGCGACATGCACAGACGTGCGATACAGACGCAATGAAAACGCATCTTCCGAGCAATAGCCAAGGAGCTTTACGCCCCAGTTAGCGTCACAATATTAGCGGAAATTTTAATTGCAGTCAGATACCAAAATTATCACCCTTTTAAGAAACAATTAAAATATCTATGAAGCATTTTTGATAATATTGCTGTGGCCGACTGCGTGCCTTTAAAAGTGCCGCCGGAAATTAGTTCCGCCGCCACTCAAGAGAGGGCGGCGATAGCAGACGCCGCGGCGCTGTCATGCTCGACCAGGCTCCGGAGCGGACGGGCGCACCCGTACCTGACAGCTGGCCAGCGGACCCACAGCCCGAGCCGGCTATAAAAGCCGCGCCCGGCGAGCTGAGAGACAGTCAAGCGCCTGCCTACATTGTGAAGTGATAAGTGGATTGTGAACAAGTCCGACGACACAGCTACGGTTACGGACTTTCTCTCTCTTGGAACAGTGAACGGCACAACGGCTGCGATTTTGGACATCTCCCCGGGAAACTGTGACTTGGACATTCTTCGGTACATCTTCTGAAAAATTGCTTGGATCTGGCTTGAATATGTCTATCTCTGTACTGATTGTGGTTGGAATAAATCCATTTTTAGAAATTGCTTTCTTTTGGATACTACAAATATTGCCTGTTTTATTTCAATTTCATCTTCATCGTGTTAATTTTCGGTACTCTATGTCTCTTTCAAAAGGTTCCTCACCATTACTCGCTCTCTATGCAACATGATGGCCAGCGTTTGGCCGCACTTAAACGTAGTGCCCTTGTCACGTGGTTCGTGACTTTAACTGGTGCTGCACAGAACGAGTATAACTCGGCGGACCGGACTAGCTCACCCTTGTGTTTCCACCATGTATAGATGTACTATGTTCCGATGCGATGTAGGCGGCTTACGCCCATTGGCGCGCTTCCGCCGTGGTGTTCTGGGGTCGCAGTCAGGAACCAATGGCGGCTCCGCCTCTCTAGCTGCTACGGGGAGGCCTGGAAGCCGTCTGCTTGAGTGTTGCTTTGTTACGAACCTAACAACCAATCAGAAACAACCCACTCAGCGAATAAGAGAATAAGAGATCAGCCCAATTCAAGTTCATTCTCGGATGCAAAATAGTTAATAGAGCTCCTTGATGGAACTAATACGTCCTAAGTAATTTCTTTTTCAAAAACAGTAATTAACCCACTACTCTGGTGAAATTCAGTGACACGAAAGCGGGTCCTCAGGTGCCCCAAGGAGTATATCACATTCTCAATGAAAAAAAAACTCAATTCAAAAGGTTTAATAGAGCTTGTTAAAGGAATTAATACGTTCAAAGTAATATTCGTTTAAAAAAAAATTAACACAGAAATTAAAAAAAATATTCGAATTGTGTAATTTTGGTGCTTTTTTTATTTCTGTGTTATTTTCATTTCTGAACAACTATATTAATTTATTTTGTAAATAATAAACAATTTATACGTTTCTGAAGTGTTTTTATACTTATGCAAGGCAATTTTTTTTCCTAGAAAGCACTTTTTCAAACCAACTTTTGAGTGATAACTGCGGCTAAGCCATTCACAATATCCACCTAGTTTATTACACAAAATATGGTTAAAATTGTCTTAAGAACGTATTTGTGAAGTTTCGACGTTTCTTTCCCGGACATCCTGTAGAAGTACCGGCGCCACAGGTTCAATAAACTTCTTCTCACTTTGTCGTAGCCGGAATTAACGTCTTCTTATTGCCATTAAATGTCATTGATTTGGATACCACTAAAATACGTCGAAAGGATTATAATAGGAAGGGACTGTAATGCCAAGGGAATAGAGTGGTGATGCAGCGCAAATTCGCGCGCCGGATAGAAATCAGATTATTATTTCCGCCTTCGCTACCTAAAAAACAGAAATTTGCAGTTAAATATCAGCCGGTCTTGGTGGCCGAGATCGCTAAGGCAGTAGTGCCGTAGCGAACTCGGACCGAGGGTTCGCGGGTTCGAGTCCCGCCTCGGGCATGGTTGTATTGTGTATCCCCTATCGTCATATCGTGTTATCCTCACAGTTACCACAGCGTTACATGCATTAGTAGTCGCTAATGACCTCGCTGTTGATGCGACCTTAAGTAACGAAAAGAAGTTAAATATCAGCATTATAAATCTTCCATTAATGTTATCCAATCCAGAGTACCGCAAGGAGTGACACTTTCCCCACTCCTATTTACTCTTTTTATTCATAAACTCTCTCAACCTTTCCACGTAACTTTACATAGTTGCTGGCCATGTTTCCTTTGCAACCAAACTCGTGATAACAGAAAGAGCAGTTAGTAGAAACGATACCACAAGCAATAGAAAACTGGTGCACACTTAATGGAATGACAAGAATTACGAAATCAAATGAAAAGTTATCTTATTTAGCTGACGTAGAGAAAAAATTCCCAATCCTTTGTCCATAAATGGTATACGAATACCTTGGAAGAATGAAGTAACATATTGTCATAAGCAAGAAAGACTCCCATTTTTATTGTGACGAAGGGCATCGGAATGTTCATTCAATATTATGTCAATACGTGTAATTTATGCATGCAGAATTGACCAAAAGCATGTATTACATACCTACATTTATCATTCATCAGTTGGGATTATAGGCACAAAATAAATTTAAGACCACAAAAAATCGATGGGAAATTTTCTTTCACAAATCGAACGATAACGGAATAGAGTAGATTGCATGCAGAAACCTTTGATCCCTTTCCTTCAAGCGTCCAACAGTATATTTAGGGTATTACTATATAAATGAGGGACTTAACTAAGTATAGTAGGTTATAAAGCGATGCATATGCGATAGTGAAGTGAAGTGTCGTGCTGTGTAGAGAAGAGAAATAATGAAGGAAGTGGTTAAAGGG